TCCTGGACATGGTTGGTAGTCAATTCCACCACATACCCTAATGCTTGTTAGCTCCTTCAGAGAAAATGTGTTATTAACTGCACTACTCAATAATGGATCAGCATTGATAACATCAGCCTCAGCAGATGTTATATCATATGTTACTTCACATGTATGAATACCAAGTGGTGCAATAGCTGATACTCCAAATAATGCTATTAAAGATACCCCAACAAGTATGTAAAGTACATTACGTTTATATGATCCCATGCCCCATAATTTAATCCCTGTTAAAGCAGGTTGGCCACCTGCTCCATAAATGTTAAGCAGACTTGCTTCAACCACTTTACTTAAAGTTGTCCACTCTAAAGCTGCCATTTTATCATTGATGCTTATTAATATTGATATGGCACCCAACACAGAAATGATAATTGGTAGGAGAGCATTAAAAACACCAATTAATCCAGCTAATTGACCAACACTCAATTCAACTATCAACATTTTTAGGATTTAAAGATTATGCGTTGTGATCAAGTTTTCTAGTATGTATACTGTAAATAATTTGTTGTTATTATTATTTATTTATTGAAACAACAATGCCGTGTTAAGAGAAGATAGATGGTGAAATTTATTTTACAATAAATGAATGGATTTATAATTCGACAACACTTGCCGTTTCTCTAAGATAGATTATTTTATTAATTTGAAACATCCTTTCAAAAATCCATCTCCTTATATGCATGATTTAATTTGATGTGCTGCGATACAGTTTTTCGTGTATAAATTTCCGTTTTGCAGGAATCAACAAATAATGGTTTTTTTTATAAATATCTATCTAGTTACAGCAGAAAGGAAAATTTTTAGAAAGAGCAGTAAAGAATTTTATATTTTCCATTTAAATCATTATTGTGGTCATGAGAATTAGAATTTAAATTTTATATGGAAATGAAATACTAAGGTTAAAATGATTGTTTAACACAAAAAAAAGATTCAACATTTGTTTATTAAAACATATAAAAGAATAAGAAGGTTGCCGTGTTACGGTGCCTTACTAATTGCCGTAATTTCTGTGTAGATTTGTTATATTTTGTGTAATATTTCTCCTTTTTCTTTTTATTATGTTTCCAACGACTTTACCCAATTTTGGTTGCACGGGAAATAATTCATTGTAAAGAGGATTCGTTTCATTCATTCAGTTCAGTTCAGTTCAGTTCAGTTACGGTATGAATCACCACAAAACGAAACGAATCTACACATCCTGTTTTTCAGCTTTGGTAAACTGAATTTTTGGGAAAGGATGAGATCAAAATCAAAGGGTAAAACTTTGTTTTTTTTTTTTCTTTGCTGCGCTGGCTTGAAATGATTTGCAAATTGATTTGAAATTTTGAAATAGTTTCGTTTTACAAAAAATGATAAACGGTTATGGTTATTTTACGTCACAGTACCGTGTGAATCCCAATTGTTATCTGTTTGTCATGATTTGTGAAACTGAAAAACTTATCTGTTTTGGTTCAAAATGTTAGGGTTGAGCAAAACAGATATTTGACTGAAAGGAAATCATGTTTCGCTTTAGATGTTTTTTGTGTGGTGTAGACCACTGTCTACCATTAGGTCTTCGTCTTGCTCTGACATTTCTGACTGTTCAAAATGACCAAAAACTGATGGTCTTGTCTTGGAACCTTTACCTCAGATTGTCAAAGGCTTGTCACATAACGTGTTAATGATATTTTCTGGTCACAAGACCAGGGTTCAAAAACGGTTTATTTCGTTGTCAATTTAAAAAAAAAAGATCGATAAACAAACAATATGTGCAAAATTTTTTTGATTGTTCATGTTGAATTAAAATTTTTTCTTTGGATTTTGACCATTTGAGAAAGATAGTGGGTGATCTGGATAAGAAAAAACTTTGATTTTGACCATTTGAAGGATAGTAGGTGATCTGATTTCCTTTTGGAGAAAACAATAAAATTGTTGATTAATGAAAAAATTTCCTTTTGGGAAAAACAAAAGAATATGTCGATTGATTAAGAAAAAAAAGCTTAGTTGATTTTTTTTAAAACAATCGAAATTTGTAAATGACTTTTGATGTTTG